CTTGTGCGGACAGTCCAATCTTTTTGGCTCATAGTTACTTTTCGCTGAAAAGTCTACGATCTAAGTTTCTAACATGTTTTTCGTATGAATTTGGATCTTATCATAATATCAATCAGGAGTCCTCTCATCGCCGTGTGCGCTCCCGAAGCCATGGTAGGCAGGCGTGGAACGGAGTACAAGTAGAATATCCAGTTGATCGCTCAAGTTCTAGTCATGAGTACGTTTCTGATAGCATAGTTAGTATTTTTGTATCCATAATTTTAACCAACATATCCCCTAACCTTCTCTATTCGATTGTGCGATTGCAATCAGCTGTTCAAGACTAAACGCCAACTTACTCAACCGTCGACACAGTAGGAGCAACCATATCTACTACTCATCTGGTGGATCAAACGAAGGACGTAGCCCACCTCCGGAAATACCTCTTCTAAGTGCTGTGCCACCCCCCGGAGTGAAGAAGCCAATGGGAAAACGCGTAGTCGGTATGCCATCGCTTTCAAAGTTGTTGTAACATGATCTTTCGCGATGATTCTCATCCTTACCATCGCCCTTTTTGCACTTGAACCAGTTGCGCTTCTTGTTGATGTACGCTTTGCTGGCTGAATTTTTGACACTTGTATGCTCTTAGAAACTGTGAGCGTTAGTGAAGAATTTACAACAGCTTAGTTGTCTATATCTCAATACTTTTTAACACTCAATCTTTCAAGAGTAAAACACTGCCAAAGGAATGGATGGATAAGCGCGGATTTTCTTCTAGCTGCTTTCTGTTATAACATAGCGAATGCTTTTTTATTTCTCTGCTTTGACTGAGAACACTGTCTATGCAGTCTTATTGCTTTCTGTATGCTTTTGTTTAGATACTGACTTCGACGTCAAATCATCGTAGCATTTTGCACTTTAACATTGGTTGCACATTCTTCACCTTCTCCAGTGTCGGCACTTATGGGACCAGAGTAGTGTTTGCACTTAATTTATTCGCGGTGTTCTGTTTCGTCTCTTTCTGTTAGCTATTTATGTGCTTACTGTGCTAGGAACGGCAACTTCTTTCCCTTTTTTGATGGTATATATCTTCGTGGTATATCAACAGTTGTTGTTCTCGCTTGTATTGTTGAAATGGGTTGGTTATGTGATGCTGTATATCTAATAAAACATTCTATTGCGACATACATGTTTTCTCCTCTTTCATAGGAGTTATACATTAAACTGATTTCGCATGTATTGTACCACCTCAATTCAATTAGATTTGAAGTGTACTGAATAAAGCTATAAACTTTAGATCTATCCTTTTCTTTGATAAATGTGCAAGAGACAAAAATTAATGAATGAAATCGGTTTTCAAAACAGTTAACAAAAATTACGACTATTGGGAGA